ATTATAATGATTAACGGCATATTACACACCTATTCTTGTTCAAAGTGTAATTAATACCACCCCAAAACTGACGTGGAAATAAAATTAAATATGAAAATAAAATAGGCGTGTTTAAGTTGAAAATAAAGTCAAAAAAGTAGTTTTTTAAACCCCCGACCCCTGTATTCTCCTTCTTCATGTTCCTCTTCTCTTATTTTCCTTCAGAATTTTTCTTCTGAATTTTTTATTACTTATCACAATTTTACAATTTGTCACTCAATTTCATTTTTTTCTTATCACATTTCAATAATTTGTCACTCAATTTCATCATTATACCTAGAAAAAGTAATTTTTTTATTCAAATTTCACAACAATTCTAGGAATTCGAGACTTTGTTCTCCTCATGAGGCTTTATATACTTTTATTTATTTTTGTATCTGACTGAATCAAATTCTAACTTCATCTGATTTTAAATATATTATTTTCATCAGAACTAGTCACTTTGTATTACTACATTAAGAAATTACATAATTCAAATGTACCCCAGGTCTCGTGTACAATTTAACTTGAGAAAAATTTCACCCAAGAGATCTCATATAGCAAAAAAAAATATTGAAAAATCTAGCTAATCTATGAGATATTTTGTTCAAACATCTAGGAATATATATATAATCAAGACATGATCAAAGATGGTCAAGAATATCTTCACACGTCACTTCTATTTTTCATGACGCAACCACTTATTTCTGGATCATATCAACAATAATTTTTGCATCAGAGAAAATCTTCATATCCTTCCATCCATTACTAATAGCACATTCAAGAGCCTTCCTAATAACAATCACTTCAACAGTCATGGCTTTCCCAACATATTGGATTGGAAATTCATGGGCATGAAGCTGTTTTTCAAGGCTATCCAAAGCCGCAAACCCAATAAAAATTACATATTTGTAACACTCTAAATTAGGATAAAAATCTCATATTTAGAAAATACAAGAGAGATGTTGAGTATATAATAATTAGGTCTTATATTCTAATAACATGTTTTAAATTTGCGTGAACGTAAGCCTAGAACAAACAATATTACTAACATGTTGGATCGTTATATATGGTATTAGAGTCGGTTATGTGTTGACCTTGTTGATAGTGGGTCAGAGTTCTCCTAAATTTAGGCAAATTTAGGAAAAACGAGTAAACCAGTAGATATGTTGGATATATATATAAACATGTATTACATCATAATAACACGTTTTAAAATCGTGTGAGTAAAGGCCTAAAATGAACAATATCACTTATGGGTTGGACTGTTACAATATTCTTTTTCTTTCATTTTATGTGACTTTATTTAATTGAGGTTTGAGCATGACGTTTAAGAAAAAAAATATTTTTTTTTGAAAATCTGTGACCTAAATATCATAACATTTGTGTAGCAATAAAACTTTAAAAAATTCAGTATTAAATTCTAAAAATTTAAGTTGAGTTGTTTTCAATTTTAAAAATGAGTCAATATTTTTGAAACAAATTAAAAAGTATAGGGGTCATCTAACTAAAACAAAAAAAAGAATACTATGATTAACTATGGATTAAATAATAAAATTAAAGTATTGTAATTGATCCATGTCATGAATTCATTAATTTGACATAAACATTATATATATCACATAGCCAAACCCATTGAGTGATTCAGCGTCCATTTTTGTTTTAGTATGTCCGTCATTAATCATAAGTATCAATGTTTGAATTTTAATAATATAATTATCTTTAATAAGATGAATTTAACTTTTAAAATAATTTTTTAGCATAAATTTAAATTAATCAAATTACAAAAGAAATATACCAAATATTGAAAAATGCAAAATAAAAAACTAGATATTGAAAAGACAAATTGAGGAAATAAATCATAAGTCAACTTCTTCATTTGCATTGAATAGATTTACTTTCACCAAAGAGTGAATAAGTACAATGTATAAACTTAAAATAAAGATGAAAAAAATTAGAACTCTTTCTTTTCTTAACCCCCCACCCCACCCCCACCCAAAAAAAAAAAAAAAAAAACCCTATAACACTTATTAACTCTGTTTTATGCCTTGCGGTAATGATTCATCTAATATTACAATTTTTACCATAATGACATTATTTATAGATCAAATTATTTCGTAATTTGAATTTCACTTAACTGTCTTTGATTTCATTGCGTATGATCGAGATAGAACTGATCAGAAGGAACTTGAAGTAAACACAGGTGGAAGACTAACCATAGTCTCTTTACCTCCAATCAAACTCTTCAAATATTTCAATTGACAAATAAATTGCTTGTAAAATCCAATTCTTGAAGAAGAAAATGTAAACAATATGCTTTTTTTCAGCATATTTAATTTCCTCCCAATTTTGATTTTCAACCAATATGAATTCTTTCTCATAGACACAACAGAATCTGCTTTCTTTAATGACTTGTAAATCAAGAATTGTGCTTTTCTATGTTTAATATCTTCTTTGTCTTCTTTTTCAATCTTGAAATAATTAGTAGTCATTTTTGGTATTTATGATATTGATGAAATAGTAGAGTACTTTTTTTTTTGGTAATTGAAGAGGTTTATGAAATTTGGAAGTGAGGATTGAAGGAAAGAAAAATATATATGTATTTATAGTGGAAAGAAGAGTTTTTGAAGGGTCAAGAAAGAAAAGAGGGGTGGGTTGGGGGTGAGGGGTTGTGAAGATAGTGCATGTGTCACTCTAAAGAAAATTTTGAATATTTTTGTATTATGACTTGTCTTAGTTCTCAAAGTCAAAGAGTTTAATATGGAACCTTGGTTGTGAGATTGATTTAGATTTTAAATTTGATGATTTTTTATATTTAGGATAGTATTTGATATGGAGAGAAATATTTTTTTCATATGTTGTAGAAAAAATATTTAAATCAAATAAATATGAAAAAAAATATTTAAAAAAAGAATCATGAACATTATTTTTCTTAATACTCTCTCCGTCTATTTTTAAATGTTTATGGTTTCCTTTTTTAGAATCAAACAATAAGAACTTTGACTAACATTTTACGAGGTATTTTTTCATCATATTGATATGCAAAAATTGCATTTTATAGTACTTATCGTATAGATTTTGAATATCTAATTTTTTTGTTTAAAATATCGAATTAATGTAATTTAATTTAACTTAATTTTGAAAATTAGTTAAATTGACTTTTGAAAAGCATAACATAAAAATTAAAAGTGGACGGAAGAAGTATTAATGAGAAAAATTAAATTTCATAAATGACATTTCATATTGATTAATCCCCCCCACCAAACTCCCCAAATCGTCTACATTTGCATTTCGTTTCCAAACGAACCTTTATCACTATTATTCTTATAATATTTATTTAAATTATATATAAATTTCATTAAAATATAATATTTTCTATTTACTCACCAAACGTGAGAAAAGAAAGTCACTTATTATTCCGATACCAAACATGCTAGCTCTTGTTCTTATCATTGAGCTCAGTGGCGGAGGCAAGAATTCTATCAAGGGGGTTCAAATAAAACATAGGCGAAATCCTGAACCCCATAAATCATTGAGCTACTCCTTTGACATATGCTCAGGGGGTTCAATTTTAAATATATACACGTACACAAAAAAATTGATCTTATATATATAGTGTAATTTTTTTCCGAGGGGGGTCGGATGGCCCCCCCGGACACACTCTACATCTGCCGCTGATTGAGCTCATAGCACTTCTAAGATTATTGATTCAAATTCTAATCTATAAATCGTAGTAAAAAATACTAGATTAGGTTAAATCCAATATTTATACACTATCATATAAAGAAACACGATAACTTTTAAGTCGATGGGTTATTAAAAGCAACCCCTCTATCCTCACAAAAATAAAAATAAGATATACTGATACTTTATCTTTTACTGACTCTACTTATAAAATTACATCAAATATATATTGGTATTGCACTATTTAAAGTTTGAATTATTAAAAAACATCAAATAATTATCACAAAAAGAGACAAATGTCTGTCAATGAACTGGTTGGAAGCTATTACAACTCTTAAGGGACATTGAATACTATTATTTTATTTTTTAAGAAGTGCAAATAATTATAATTTAGTAATATAATGTAAAGTGGCAGCTAGAATACCAGCAGAAAGTCAGGAGCCAATTATAAAGCAATTAATACTTTATAT